GGACTCAGTAGCTCACTGTGCACCTGGATATTGGACTTCCGGAGCGATAGACCCCAGAACATCAGGATGGGAGAGCACACCTCCTCCACCCTCATTCTGAACGTAGGTGTCCCACAGGGGTGTATCCTCCATCCCTTAATATACTCTTCACCCATGACTGTTCTTCAATTCACACCAGTAACACCATTATAAATTTTTCAGGCGACACCACCATCATAGGAGTGATTGACGACAACAACAATGAATCAGCCTACAGAGACGAGGTTCAGCATCCGAAACAATGGTGTGACAACAACAACCTGCATCTGAACACAGCCAAGACCAAGGAGATGGTCTTGACTTCAGAAGAACAAAGCAATCAGAGCACTCAGCCCGAGGAAGTACAGGGTGGGCCATTTATATGGATACACCGTAATAACATGGGAATGGTTGGTGATATTAAAGTCCTGTTTGTGGCACATTAGTATATGTGAGGGGGCAAACTCCTCAAGATGGGTGGTGACCAGGTGTTGGTCAAGTTACTTGAAAAAAGTAATCAGTAACTAATTACTGATTACTTCCCCAAAAAAGTAATCCCGTTACTTTACTGATTACTTATTTTCAAAAGTAATTAATTACTTAGTTACTTAGTTACTTTTTAAAAACACGATTTACAACCTGAAGAGGTGATAAAGCGATAGATCTTTCAGCCCAATTCTACTTTTTCTACATAATCCATCATACAAAATGTAATCAAATGGAAAAGTCTCTTTTTTTAACTTGTTTTATCAGTTTTAATCTTTTAACTTTATGCATCAAGCAAAAATTTAATTATATGCAACATTCTCTGACTTGAATAAATTAGTTTAACATTTAAACCTATTTTCTGCACATTCCAGCACATAAAATAAAATATTTTTTGTGTTTACACTCAGTCTTTCAAATAGATGCAAGTAAAACACAGCAGAAAATAAATAAAGTCAAAGACTAGCGGTCCTTTTGCTCTATTTTCACCTGTAAAGCAGGAGTGGGTTAGATCAGATCGGGAGACCTTGGGGGCCATTCAACTGGCCCACGATACCAATCCACTTTCCAGGAAACTGTTCATCTAGGAATGCTCGGACCTGGCACCCATAATGTGGTGGTGCACCATCTTGCTGGAAAAACTCAGGGAACGTGCCAGCTTCAGTGCATAAAGAGGGAAACACATCATCATGTAGCAATTTCAAATATCCAGTGGCCTTGAGGTTTCCATTGATGAAGAATGGACCCACTATCGTTGTAGCCCCATATACCACACCAAACCATCACTTTTGTTGTTCCAACAGTCTTGGAGGGATCCATCCAATGTGGGTTAGTGTCAGACCAATAGCGGTGGTTTTGTTTGTTAACTTCACCATTCACATAAAAGTTTGCCTCATCACTGAACAAAATCTTCTGCGTGAACTGAGGGTCCTGTTCCAATTTTTGTTTTGCCCATTCTGCAAATTCTGTGCGCCGATCTGGGTCATCCTCGTTGAGATGCTGCAGTAGCTGGAGTTTGTAAGGGTGCCATTTGTGAGTAGCTAATATCCGCCGAAGGGATGTTCGACTAATGCCACTCTCCAGTGACATGCGGCGAGTGCTACGCTGTGGGCTCTTGCTGAATGAAGCTAGGACAGCCACTGATGTTTCTTCATTAGTGACAGTTTTCTTGCGTCCACATTTTGGCAAATCCAACACTGAACCAGTTTCACGAAACTTAGCAAGCAGTTTGCTAACTGTAGCATGGGAGATGGGTGGTCTCGTAGGGTGTCTTGCATTGAAATCTGCTGCAATGACCCGGTTACTGCGTTCACCAGATATCAACACAATTTCGATCCGCTCCTCACGTGTTAACCTCTTGACATGTCAATGGCTGTGAACAAAGAGAAACTTGATAAATATGAAAGAATAAAGACGAAAAAACAATTGAAACCTATTAATTCTCACCGCACACACAAGAAATTGAAAAAATAAACACCAGCAATTATTGCATGGCTGTGAACAAAGAGAAACTTGTAAATAACTCATGAAAGAATAAAGTTACGTTGAAACCAAGCACACCATTGTTTTTCTTGTGACATTACCAATAGTTTGATGTGTCACATGGCCCTCTTCCTATTGAAAAAACAAAAGTTGTATCCAAGATGGCCGACTTCTAAATGGCCACCATGGTCACCACCCATCTTGAGGAGTTTGCCCCCTCACATATACTAATGTGCCACAAACAGGACTTTAATATCACCAACCATTCCCATGTTATTACGGTGTATCCATATAAATGGCCCACCCTGTATGTAGAAGGCTTTACGTTCCTCGGGGTCCACATCTCGACCAACCTTAACTGGTCCACAAACATTTTCCACCAGGTAGGAGAAGCACAACAAAGGATGTACTTCCTCAGGAAGCTGCGTTAGGCCCAATTACCCCAGAGACTGCTAATTAACTTCTACCCTCTGACCTACTGCTCCACACTCTGGTTCAACTGCTGTACTGTGGAGGACAATAGGAAACTGCAATGGGTGGTGAGTGCAGCAGAGCGGGCAACTGGCATTTCACTAACCCCCTCAGAGACATTTATACTGGCAGACGTCAGCAGAAAGCTAGCATCATCATCAAAGAACCCTCGCACCCTGGACACTCAAAACACTCCCAAACTGTGTTTCATTGTTTCATTGACAACAAATATCTTATCTTATCTTATCTTATCTTATCTTATCTTATCTTATCTTATCTTATCTTATCTTATCTTATCTTAGCTTATCTTATCTTATCTTATCTTAAACAAACAAAAAATGGACTTCACAGTTTCACCACTGCTTGGAGAGGAGTTGCCAAGTGTTTGCAGACATGCAAACTACAAGCACCAGCAGCGATCTGCTTCCGACCAAAGCAGTCAGCTATTTTCCTTGTGACCAGCAGTTTCCAGAATGGTCACTGACCACTCTGGAGCTTTAGCAGTCAGTTTCACCGCAGCTGGCATCAACCACTCACCAACCAGTCAGGGAGTGCAAATTTTTCTCTCTAGCAACCAGCGGTGGTCTATGGCAGCCCAGTGTCACAGGTCCAAAATGATGCAAAAGTTAATGTCACATGGTTAGTAGTCAGGTTACTGCTAAAACATGTGGCTAAACAGTTATGGCCACGTAGACTTGCCAAAATTTTAGGTTAGGTATGTGAAAAAGAAAAGAAAAGAAATCCAAATTACTATACGTCTAAAGTTGGACACACACCTAAATAAAATCTTGAAATGCTGAGATAATAAATGAAAACTAAAACATTTTAAATAATAACCTGAATAATAACAACCTAAAAGTTCATCTTCTTTTGCAAACATTATCACTATTTGTATTGGTGCCAGCAGTTCAAGTATCGTGTGTAATCTGAGCTGGGAAAAAGTTACTGCTGTAATACTGCATGCAGCCAACCTGATGCAGTATGTGGAAACAGGTCTGTTAGATCAGTATTCAGTGAGACAGTGGAGCAGTTGCAGGATCATGTCCCCCTTAAGAGTATCCAACATGCAGGTTTCTCCTCATGGTTCGTGCTGATGGAGGCTGTTAACATGTTATGTGCCCTGTGCAGACACACGCTGCATCTCCCTCACACAGACACACACACAGAGAAAGAGAGAGGGAGAGAGAGAGCAGGAGGAGGAGGCGGAAACCTCCATCTGCCCTGCTCGGTGACCGACCCGTCATCCTCGGGCTCGGGGAACAGACGGATCGTCTCCTCGCTGTTGTCATTTTTTTAATTTTAACTTTCACATCTCTGGATGAGGAAACCGCGGGGAGATGATGTGACCACGGGAAAAGCGAGAGGAAATTTAACACGGAGCAGATCTTCAGTCTATATATAGGCTATGCCCCGGACTGCACCACCACCACCACCTGCCCCCCCTGGTGCCGGTAAGTCACGGAGGGAAGAGGAGGTGGGAAGCTGGGAGAGAACCGTGGTGTCCCGGGGCGGGTTGGTGCTAGCCGTGCCTGGGTATCGTTGGTAACTGACCCGTGAAAATGACTTTTGAGGTCTCGTGAGGTCGGGTTACCGTTCAGCCATGTTGCAGGAGATCGATAGGCGAGGGAGGGAGGGAGGAGGTGTGTGTGGGGGGGCCGTTGGACTCTTGACACCTGCCCTTGTTCCCCATAACTGAAGGCAGCGCGAGGGAAAACCGTTAAAAATGTGTAAATTGGCAGTTAGGCGGCTCTAAATGGCGTGATGACTTTCTGACTCGGTGTGGCGGGGAGTCGGAGTGCCGTTCAGCCATGTTGCGGGGGGGTGTTGGGGCCGGGCTGTACAGGAGGAGGAGGGAGGTAACTAGCTAACAGCGGGGCTCCGGGGGCTCTGACTCCGACCGACCGACCGACACCGAGAGGGACGTGAGGGGAAGGGGAGGGGGTGTTGTGGAGAAGCTGGTGCCCGATGATTGTCGCCTCCCTGCCGGATGCGGCGGCGGCAGCAGCCCGCGCGGTGTCGCTTAGAGACGGAGGCAGGAGGCAGAGCGAAACGGGGTCGACGGGGGTAGTGAGTGAACCGAGGCAATGAAGAGCCTGCCAGCCACATTTGATTTATTAAATAAAATTATTTAGTGCAATTTTTTAATTAACAAGGCCCTAAATGTTAAAAGATGAAAGTGGAATTCAGCAGGATTTTTTTTTCATTATTATTGTACTATTATTTATTTAATTGCTATACACACACACATACATATATATATATATACACATATATACACACACACACATTACATATATATATATATATATTATATATATATATATATGTGTTGTGTGTGTGTGTGTGTGTGTGTGTGTGTATATATATATATATATATATATATATATATATATATATATATATATATATATATATATATATATATATAATATAACACACACACACACACACAACACACACACCACACAAATATATATATATATATATATATATTATATATATATATATATTATTGCACAATATTTCTTGATTATTGACTTTTTTGGTGTAGTTTTGAGTCATCATGGCGCTAAAATATTTTGATTTGGGGCTGATATTCTGACGGGTCTTTTTTACATTTTTAAAATGAAATGTGATTTATTGTTTAAAATCGTTTTTTCAACAACAATCATGTTCATTTAAATTACGTGTGTTCTTGCAGCCTGTGTTCATGTGTTCATTCTTTTTTTTTTGCACATTTAAATTACGTAGATATTCCTACAGACACAGGCATGTCAATTTTTAGATAATTTATTTTACTTTTTCATTGATCTTTATTTAAATTACATTCCTACAATGGGACGCTGATAGATTATTATTTATTTATTCATTACATTTGTATTTATTTATTTGTTTGTTTATCTCTTTATTGTTAGCCTTCAAATGAAAGTATTTTCCTAGGATGCAGTCAATTTTTTTCCTTTCAGGGGCAAAAAGTGACCAAGGCTAACAGGCGGTGACAGGCGGAGTAGTTATTGATGATCACTGATCACAAGTGACCATTATTGTTTTTCAACAGGAAGGTCAGGGCAGGAGGTGACGAGGCAGGGTCCGTTACCATGGTGATAACAGATGATGATTTATCCCCTTATTGGGCCTTATCCATTCAATAATTTATTATTCTCAGATTCACTTTGTTCCTTTTCTTCTCCTCCTCCTCCTCCCTTTATCTTCCTCTCCCCTGTTCTCTCTCGCCCTGCATCCTCGCTGCTTCCTCTTCCTCCCCCTCTCTCGTCCCGTTCCCCTCCGTTCGTCTTCCCTCCTCTCTCTTTCAGGTCACCGAGAGCCAGCAACAGCTCGCTCTGAAGATCAAATTCACCCTCGTTTCCTCTCTCTACGATGCTCTGCTCACGTCCATATGTTGAAGAACACACTCGTCTTATTTTAGCACCACTACCTTCCTCCTCCTCCTCCTCTTCCTCCTCTCTTGCCCTCCTCTCTTCTGAGTTTTGACTCCCCTTTTCACTCTCTCTCTCTTTGTCTCTCTCTCTCTCTTTCTTATTTTTTTCACACACGGAAAAAAAAAATGAAGCGTGGGTCGAGTGTGTTGCAGCCTCACTCTGATGCAGCCAAACGACACGCACACCCTGCAAACACACACACAAAGACACACACAGGCGATGACGCACAAGCCGCAGGTTCGAGCCCCTTCCCAGCAGCCACCTCTCTGTTCAGCCCTGATGTCAGCACCAAGATGGCGTCTGACCTCCTCATCAGGCTGTCAGGTAACACACACACACACACAGTGGGCACTAGAGCTGCTGCCTAATGACTAATCAATCAATTGATTATGTAATAATGAAAAGGATGGTTAGCTCCACCCCTAATGTGCAGAATTGCATCTTGTTTATGTCATTTTTGTGGATGCTAATTTGTGCTCACAAACACTACAAAAGTATGTGGACAGATCTTTGTACTGTCCTGTCGTGGGAAATGGAGTTGCGTGGGTGGAGTGAAACAATAATTGCACAAGAATAATACAGTAATACAAGAATAAATGAACAACAAGCCCATTTCCCGCGTGTGTCGTCCACGTTCCTGTCACTCCCTATACTGTCTTACCTAAGGAAGGCAAAGAATGGCCAAAAATAAAAGAATATATATGATAACTTGCACGGTGTTTATCCCAAAGTGAAACGCTTTATAAAGAAAAATCTAAACATAATACAAGGTTAGTAAGTAAACCGACCTCCTTCTTCCTGGCCAACTACTCCACCTGTTCTGGTGGGACACAGACGTGTTCCCAAGCAAAACCAGCTCATATACTATATCACCAAATGTATTCAATCCAAATCATTGAATTCAGGTGTTCCAGTCACTTCCATGGCCACAGGTGTATAAAGACAAGCACCTAGGCATGGATACTGTTTCTACAAGCATTTGTGAAAGAATGGGTCGCTCTCAGGAGCTCAGCGGACTCCATGGTGGTAATGTGCAGCCCGTTCTCATTCCCAATGCGTAAAATACCGACAACTTGTCATGTCATGTCTCATGGGAACACAAAAGGTATGTGGATGAAATTCAATGGAATGACGCTCCCGGCGGTAACTGACGTTCCAGCTGTGTATTCCAGCCCTAACCCTAACCTTAATCCTAACTCTAGCCATAACCTTAATGGTGTTAGATAGTGTTTTCCAAAGCGATTAAAGAAAACTAAATGTACATGTGCAGATTGAGTCCAAACGGTTCTCATGTTTCCTCCTGTTTCCGAACGCATAACATAGGAACATGTTGTGGCAGAAAGCATAATATACCGACGATTTGTCACACACAGTAATATGTTATGCTTTGGGAGTGGGAACGTGCTGAGGTGCCTAGTGCACGGAGATCACCAACTTTGTGCAGAAGGTATCAGTACTGACCTCCAAACGTCACGTGCCCTTCAGATAAGCTCAAGAGCAGTGTGCAGAGACGAACCACGCTTCTCCGTCTGGCAATCCGATAGGCGAGTTTGGGTTTGGCAGTTGCCAGGAGAACGGTACATGTCTAATGAGTTGAACCCTTATTTTCAGTGAAAGGAATTCTTAATGCTTCAGCACACCAAGACATATTGGACAATTTAATGCTCCCAACTTTGTGGGAACAGATTTGGGCATGACCCCTTCCTGTTCCAACATGACTGCATACCCGTGCACAAAGCAGGGTCCATAAAAACATGGATGAGCGGTTTTGGTTTTGGAAGAACTTGACTGGCCTGCGCTGAGCCCTGCCCTCAACATGACAGAAGGCCTTTGGGATGAATTAGAGCGTGGGCAGACTTCATGTTAAACCCTGTGGATTAAGAATGGGACTTGACTCAAGTTCATGTGTGTGTGAAGGAAGTCGAGCAAATACTTTTGGCAATTTAATGGATGATCTCCACGTGTCCCTTCTCTATAGACATACCTGAAACACCTCATCCTTAAGGCACCCAGGAGGCATCCTTGTCAGATGTCGATGTGGAGGAGCTCCCAAATGACTGAGCTCCTCACCCTGTCTTTAAGGGAGTGCCCAGGCTCCTCATGCAGATAGCTCACTCTGTTGGTCACTCCACACAGCCTGTGGCCATACGTGAGAGCTGAAGCCTAACTCAATCAATCTTCCCTTTCACACTGTATTCACTGGGATTGGGCAGTCCAGGGGTATAATTTCCAGGGGGGTTAGGAGGGTTATGACCGCTCCAATAATCAGACCCAGCCAATATAACCGCTTTACTTTTCTTTACTCATTTCAGTTAATACCAGCAAAATAGTTGCATGTTTAGTCATCTGGGAATTTATCCAGATTTATTTAGACAGAGATTCCCCCCCAGTGTTCAGCACAAAGTTATGCTCATGGGGCAGTCATCCCTTTCCTGCTGGGAATCACATCCTCAAACTTGGAGGTGCTCATTCCTTCCACTTCACATCTGGGTGCAAATCACCCAGCTGGTTCAGCTCGTTCGATGAGCCCAACTGAGCAGAGAGGTGATCTGGATGCAAACCCACCTTCCACTGTGTTTGTACAGGGACAGGATGGCCTGCAACAACAACACGTGATATCCCATACTCCTGAAACACCCCCTATGGGAAGTAATGAGGGCCACGGTTGGATGCCTTCTCCACATCCATGAAACACATGTAATTATGGCTATAATACATGGGTTATTCCACAGGATGTTTCAGTAATTTTCAGTACAAAGCGGTATACTGTGCCTCCACCTAAGACTGAATGCATTTTCACTATCTTCCAGTCAGCTCAGGTTTAACATGAAAAATAAAAAGGACGAGGCTGTCTCACCCTGAGTTTTCAAGGTCTACTAAGGCTATTGGTGCATACTCAAACACACCAATCAGAGCATACTGATGTAGAGCCACTTCAGAGATCAGAAAATGTTATTATTAAAAAGGAATTTTTGACCTAAAAGAAAATACGTATTCAGCCGCAGAACACATCTGAGCCTTATAACAGTGGTGGCACAGCCTGTAAGGTATAAATTAGCCCATCAGCATCACTAATAGGTGCAAATAATTATATTCTTTTACCACATGTGAGTCCCCTGCAGACTTTTTACGATTATTTGCTACTTTAACTTTGCCTTTTTAATACAATAACAGCATGTTATGTTGCACTTATGAAATCATAGAATTAAAATAATGAAGATGATTTTGCCTTCATTTTATTTAATACAAAAAAATAAAACAGCTGTGAGGCAAAGGAACACATTTTGGCCTTGACAGAACGGTAGCATTCAACATCCAAGGAGTGATGGCTAAAAGCCTATGCCAAGGCACCCGGGAAATGAAAATGGTGGAAAAAGAATAACGATAATGACATTAATAAAGACAAATAAAATCAGTAAAAGGCAACATAAGCAGAATAAACAGGCAGGTTTTAAGGTTCTTTCACGGCTCTCCTCAGGCAGACTGAGGAGTAAACACCAGAAGCTGCTTCACCTCAGGTTTTTGTCCTGCTCTTTGGAGCAACTGAAAGCCCAGAAGACCTCAGAGACCATCGTCATTCACAGATCTGAAGCAAGTGGGCGGCTGCAAGAACATGAAGTACAAGATTTTTTAAATCAATAAAAAAACAAGCATCCAATATCAGGTCTTTAAAACAGGGTGATACAGTATGTCACTCTCCGGTTGAATACTATTACTCTGAGTTTAACTCCCATTGCAGTAAATTCCTGCTGCAGGTTTTATCTGCTGGAAATGAAGAGACGTGAGCGTGTAGGTGTCCGCGTACTTCGGGCATGTGTTGCAGGAGCCTGTGCGCTCTCATGAAGGCTTGAGTGCGGTTATCAGGCTGCAATTTGACCTCTGCAGTAATCTGTTTACAGTTAACTTGAATCAAATCACTCTCTGTCTCCAGAGGCCACCCAGAAGGCCCAGATGCATCCTGGGAGCCGAGAGGAAGCGGAGCAGCAGGATGAGCCAGGCGTCGCTCTCTCACCGGACAGCCCCGGGGCGAGTCCCGAGCCACCGTCCCTCACGCACACGCCTGACGGCAATACCGCTACGGACACGCTAGCTTCAGATCTGCTCCGGAAGCTAGCAGGTACGAGTTCGCCAAAACTGTGATGAGAGATACAGCACTGTGTAAAAGTCTTGAGCCAGTCCTTATTTTTTCATGTTATGTAGGGAAATGGATGCAGTGATTTACTGGAACATGTGCAAACATACACAGCATACAGTATATAAGACAATAACAGAGTTTGTACAGTTGTAAGAACTTTGGAATGACCACAGTTATTCTTTTAGGCACCTTTCTTGTCATTTCTTGAAGTAGTCTTCAGGAATAGTTCTCCAGGACATTCAAAGCTCTCCTTTGGATCTTTCTTCTTTTTCTTCTGGTCTGAGCTCTGAGGAGGCCAATCCATGACTGATAATGTTCCATTTTGTGTTTTTATATCCAACTATACTTTGAGTGCATTGGAAGTGTTTTGGGATTGTTGCTGACAAATGAAGCTGCTAAATTTTGATGAATTATCTCATTACATACAGTGCCACTAATTTTTAGTGCAGTTCTTATATAGTTTGGCATGCCCCAGCTTTTCTCACTGTTTCTCAAGAATTTCTTCTTGAGAGCCACGCTAACACTCACACAATTTCTGATGGGGCTTCAGTGAACAGTAGATCAATCAACTGAAGGTCCAAGTGCATCTCTCGACTCCTGTGTCAGGCCTTTGCTGTTTCTTAAGGACATGACTTTCAGATAAGCCTGCCATTTCTTTTTTTGTCCTCCACTTTTCCCGATTTCCCAGATTTGTTTAAGGATACACTGCACACCATGTCTAGACATGCCAAGGTTTTAGCTAAAAAATCTTTGGGTATGATCTTGTTAGTGTAAAAGTGCTATTTTACGCCTGTCAAACTGTGTTATTTCTTAACATTTTTTATAGATTCAGTTAAAAAATAGGAACAAATAATTGTGTGTTCTTGCAACAGGCTGCTGGTAGCAAAGTGCCTAAAGACACTGATTAAAAATGGTTATTTGCCATGTTGTCTGTTTTGTATAGCCACAACACTGGTTCATCCCTTGAGTTAGGTGCCTTTTTATGCTTGAATGATTCACGGGTCTGCATTAAGTGGCAGTGTACAAAGAAACACTTTGAAAGACCTTCCGACAGCCTGGAGAACTACTGTTCAGCACCACAAAATATAAGAAAGTCTGACTTTGAGGCAAATATAGAGAGAAAAGAGTGGTGGTTCAAGACTTTTGCACAGTACTGTAAGTCATTTCTGACTGTTGGCTTTGCGCTGGATTCCAGCCCTGCGCTCCCAGTTATAAGCCTTCTGGTGTGGACGTCTTACTCACTTGTATTGGTGAACAACACAAAGTAGAGGTTCTATAGCTTGGAACCAGAACTCAGGTACCAGAGTCCAGCTGGACTGTCTGTTTTGTTTTGGGTTTTTGTTGGTTGAGGTCAAAAACATGTTACCTTCTCTAGCTTTGAATGAACTTTCACACACTGCTTCTAATCATTTATTATTATTTCTTCCCAATCACAGAGCGTCAGGAAGTGAATGGCCATGTGGTAAGACTCAAAGAAGAAGAAGAGCCAATGGAAGTCGACACAGTAGCCCAGAGTCAAATAGTAACAGAAGACGTTGCTCTGCCTGCCCCGAAAATGGTCAATCATCACATCTTCAGTGTTAAAACAGAAGATCGGGGCCTCACTGGGAACAAGGTGGCTGAGGAGTTGCACCCCAGAGCCAAAATGGCGGACCGGTGTCTCTTTGGCCTTAAAGTAGAAGGCAAGTTCTGTGCTGAAGGATGCCCGCCTGTCTCCGCAATGGCAGACAGTGCAGTCTCTGGAGCCAAACAGTTTCACTTTCAAGTGAACATGGAGGATGTCTCTGGAACTAAGATGTCGGACCACCTTCTAACTGGAGCCAAGATGGAGGACCAGCTTCTCTTTAAAGCAAAGTTTGCCGAGCGGCCTTTCTCTGGAGTCAAGGTGACCAACAAGTTTCTCTCTGGAGTCAAAACAGAGGACAAGTTTGCTTCAGGGGCCAAGATGGAGAACCAGGTTTTCTCCGGGGTGAAGATGGAGGAGCAGCTCTTCTTTGGAGCCAAGATGGAAGACCAATTTACCTCTGGAGCCAAGATGGCTGACCAGTGCCTCAGAGCAGTGCTGTGGCAGGACATGTCAGTGAACCTGGCGTCCACACTGCTGCATCAACTGTCAGGTAACCACGCAAGCTTTAATATTAACCTAGATTAAATCTAAAGTTGATTGTCGTGTTTTTACTGGTCAGAGTTGCTCCTTGATGCCGAAACATCAAATCTAAGAATACATAAAGCTGTCAAAAAAAACCAAATAAACAGAAAAACACAATCTTTCTTGAATATTTGTGAGTTGAATTTCAGAGTTTTATTTTATTTTTTTTTTCCTTGGAAATATTTATATGCTCAGTTTTGTGCAGGTGTTTGGAGGTTTTTTCACTAGTAACATAGTGAAAACCCCAGTGATTGCCTGTAAGCGAGCACATGGAATCAGCTGACTTCCTTTAAACAGGAAGAAGCAGCTGTGTGAGCCGACGGGCTGGTGCAGAGAGAGCAGACCGAGACTTTAGGAAACAACAGATAAGAAACCGTGCGTATCAGAGACATGCAGCCTCACAGGTGGAGGTAGCTGCAGAGAGAAAAGTGCACATTGTCCACTGTTTGGGTTTTAGCCAAACACACAGGTTGCATCATTTTTTTCAGTTTGCACTCGAATGCGTTTCTTTTTCTGTCGCTTGTCTGCAGAGAGGGTCAGTAAGTCCAACAGTCAGCTGGTGGACAGGATGACTCCACCCATCAGAAGCAGGTAAGTGCACACTTCCATCTATCAGTGGCATATTTTGACCTCTGACCTCAGTCATGACGGTATCCTGTATGTGTGCGTGTTGCTCTCTGTGTAGTCCTGTTTTGAAGGGTAACGACGACCAGCGCCGCTCTTCCCCGGCAGTGATCAGCTCCCAATCTCCTCCACTTGGTAATGGACTTTCAATTTTTCACTTTTCATTTCCAACAGCGTTTAACAGCAAGCCCAGACATTTGTATCCACGCACTGCAGCACATGCATACCATTCAGGCTTCTAAATGCTGCAGATGACTTCTGCAGGCTCAGCTGGGAGAGGGATCAGACACAAGGCGAAACGCTCTTACTTTTAGAGCTGTGAAGAAACAGAGTTTTACGTTTGTGTGCACAGTGTAATTGATTTTTGGGGGTTAGCCTCTCCGCTATCAAGGTCTCACTATTTGTAGAGGCCCGAGAAAAGTTTGAACCTCGATTATACCCCGCTCCTGACGCAGACACAAAAACCAGGAGACACGCCAGAGCGGCTTGAAGGCTGCTGGCGGAGTTGGTGGATTGTAATGCAAATTATCCACAGATGAGTCCAGTGGAACTGCAGTCCCTTAGCGGACTTAGGGATAGAGAAATTATGATCAAGGCTTTAGTCTAGGTGAAGTTTCCAGGAGTTAGATGACCTCTGCTAAAGATCCTGAATGTAACCACAGCCCAGCTGCTTTTATATAGTGCAGCGGTGGGCAAAGTCCAGGTTTTAGATGTGTCCTTGATCCAACACAGCTGATTTAAATGGCTAAATGACCTCCTGAACATGTTTTGAAGTTCTCCAGAGGCCTGGTAATAGCCTAATCATTTGATTCAGGTGAGATCTAAAACCTGCAGGACACCGGCTCTCGAGGTCTGGAGTTGCCCACCCATGATATAGTGCATGGATGTAAAGTCTCTTTATTTGGAGAGCTGATGTAGAAAATTGAAAGCTTGTATCTTGGTCAGGCTTAGCTACTAAAAACACAGCTTGGTTAAGTTACACACTGCAACTACCTGGTAAATTTAAGGCACTACAACAAGTTTAATGACATCATTTAAGAATTCCATGTTTTTTGACACTTTATTTTGTAGTTTTCTGTTAATTAATCACACTGACATAATAACCTGGTTTGCACACACAGGTTAAGATTTACATGAGTGTCACAGTGTCTACATGAAAATACAGGAACTCTGCGAGGATGCTCTGCAGCTGGAGGAGGTGTAGCGCCTTGATTATTAACCGTCTCCTGGAGGTGTTTTTCTTTTTTTTATTAATGAGTCACGGCGTTATGGGTTGTTGTCATTGATGTGTTTGCCTGCCAGTCTCGGGGTAATTTGCAGTGATGGAAACTGACACTGTCAGTCAGAGTGGAAGGATTAAAGGAGCTGACGGCTGAAATAGTGATCCAGCTAAATTTACAATGAACACTGGCACAGCAGGAAGGATGTCAGGTACAAGGATGCGAGCTTCCAAACCTCCAGCTGCCTTTTTAACAGCGCGCACTTCAGCATTTACAGATAAGCCCGGTGATGTTATGAATTTTTAATGCATTAGTCTGACTCTAAATCCCTCCCTAGTCGGAGAGTATGAGGCATGACTCTAAAAACAAAGCTTCCAAATATAAAGTGTCACTTTTAAGTGATGGTCACTGTTGTTTCTAATAAAGATTAATGAAACAAGAGGAAACATTTGCCTGCGTTTGATACGCACTTATTCAGTGTTTCCGACAGACTAAGTGAATATTATTGGTTGGTTATAGCGTTTGGTTACATATCAGGATAAAAAGTGTTCATGCTTTTATTTGTGCATCAGTATTATTAGTAACAGATTTTTATTTTCATTTTAATTGAAATCTTGAGTCCAGATGTAAAACACTGTTTACCTGAATTTCTACTTCAGAGGTTGAGAATGATAAAGTTTATCTAATAGTCTGTAACAACTTCAAACTTCTAATGACTGAGACGTGGAGCTGTGGCACTAGTCTTAAATATGAAGGTAGCTCCATCGATTGGAGTAAGCTATAAACCACTGAGAAAGTCTCTTGTAGACCACCTGTTCATGGTTTCTCTGTTAGACAGACTGGATTTTAAGTATCATCATAGCTAATTCTGTCACATGCTGCTTTGTGGACCTGTTTTGAAGCCTTGAGTTTGGCGTTTTGGGGTCACCAAGAGCTCGATTCATATTCCCTGCTCGTTAGTGCTAAAATCCAGACAAAAAAACCTAGAGTTTCATAAAAAATGTAACCATGGGTTACAAGTAACCACAGAGCCGGCCGTATTCTTTGTCAGATAAGTCCATTTAGAAATCTGAATCCAGTTCAGCTATTAAGGTTAGTGGGAGTGAAGCAGAGACTGTTTAAGAGATAGACGTAGCTCTGTGGTTGGAAAAATAAACCTGCAATATGCCTGAAGGCCAGCAGTGGTTTCAAAACTGGTTCTCCGATCTGACCTGTGTCAAAGCTTTTCTCTTGGGTTGTGTTTAATAGAAGAATAGCAGAGGTTTTTTGGCAAATCCTGTAACACCAAAATGCAAGATTATAAAACCATTAAATGGACCGATTCTTATATAGCGCTTAAAGTGTGTGCTCATCAGCTAACAATGTATAAAAACCACAAGTCATTGCAAACAGCTAGCTGCTTGCATCAGGTCAGGTATTTAACTTTAAGCCTTAATAAGAAGCAAATTTTGATGCAATAAACGTGTTTGTTTCTAACACAAATCTAAGTTACTCACGTCTAGAGGCAGCCTCAAGTGGCCATTTGAGGAACTGCAACCTCTGAGGTTTTTTTTGTTTTTAAATGTTTTTTTATGACCGTCATAACAAAAGTTTAAAACGTCAACTTTTTAAGGTGCTCGACCAAAAATGAAGTCTGAGCTCGTGACTTTATTTGGATCTGATTATCACCCTCTGTGTTCTGCCTGGCTGGCTCTTAGCCACCGCAAACACTTTTGATCTCCTCCACTGACAGCTCTCAGCAAACACTCTCACTGAATGTGTGTGTTCAGTTTGCCTGCATTGTCTCTGTATCATTATTATTATTATTGCTATTATTATTACTTTTTAATGACTGCATGCTGCCTTTGTCTGCGTTATGGATGCATGCTGCTACTGGAGTGCCCTTTGGGTCTATCATAATAAAGATGGTGGTGAAGTGCGCTGACAGAGGCTACAGTCACACAGAGGTTTAGCAATAATAGCTTCCAGAGGGGCTCATCATTAAGAAGTTCTGCTGTGTGTAAAAAGCAAAAATCACGCAGAATAATAAACGAATGCTCTTCTTCTTCCTCACAGAAACCCAAACCAGCCTCAGCAGACACCAAACCACAGGTTGCTCTTACTTTTTCAGGTAACACACACACACGCATGCTTTCACATCTTAGTGAGGACATTGAATTGACATAATGCTTTACCTAGCCCCTTACTCTAACCATGCCCTTATTGTAACCTCACTCTAAAACCACATTTTTGAGCCTCAAAAATGCCTTCACATTTGTGGGGACGGGCGCTTGGTCCCCACAGGTACAGTGGCATGTTTTGGTCATCACAAAGATGCTTAAACAAGTACACACACACACACGTAAACTTTACTCCTATATCTGTGAGGACCCCCTTTAAGATAGTGCACTTCCTCGCTGACTCTATATAGCTATCTCTAATCTTTGAGTTTCAGCCTGTTTTGGGACTCACTCTTGTTTATAGCTCTGTGAACGGTGATCCTAAATGTCGCAGCATTTTATCCAGCAGTAAAGCTTTCGAGCTGTTGTTTTCTGGCCTTCTGGAGAGACTGAAGTCCCCGCTTATCTTCCTGCATAGCTGCAGCTCTGCCGGATTCTCCATCTCAGTGTATTCTGCCAGCGAAGGCGTCTTTGAACATTAACTTTCTGGAGATGTTTAACAAAATTTTTTCACAGTTGCAGTTTACGTTTAATGAGAGATGTAGTTTTTCTCTCAGCTTTCCACATTAAAGACACCAGCCACTGTGAGGTGTCAGCCTGGAAAGTTTCCCATCGTTTCAGGCCCAAACACTTTTGTCCTCCCGTTACTCTTTTCGTGACGGGACTTGTGGTTTTGAGCGCCTCTCTCATAGAGAACCATCATAAAACTTCCAAAACCAGGAGCACCTGTCTCCCAGAACTAATGCCACACATGAAACACTGAAACACTGATGAAGAGGTGAGTTTTAAGAGGACATGGAAAAACGAACAAGGTCAAGCGGAAGTTGTCGCTGCTTGTAGTGAAAGTGTTTTTTGTGGCTCCATTCTGTGAGTTTGTTTAAGGAATTGAAGAACCATGAAACTGTTAGTACTGTTCACCTGATGTTTGTCCACCTGTGCCCTCCAATCAAGCTAATCACTCATTGTTACATAAACTAGGTTCACTATGATCTGATTATCTCCAGCTGTCATGTATTTCACCTTCTCTTCATGCTAAAAGTGAGAAATGAAATCATTTCCTGGTGTTATGTCTCATTTCTTAAACCCTCTCAGATCTGAAGCGTGTATATAAATCCAAACCAGCTTTATCCATAAAACACTTTAAACAACAGCTGAACAAAGTGCTTGAGATTAAAGATAGAATAAAAATCCAAAAATATAATGAAATACAAAAATAAATAAACTAATAATAATACATATATATTTGAAAACAAAAGTGCATTTCAAGCATAATTACAACAAAATAATAACAAGTTAAAACCAACTGTAAAAACCAGCCAAGCGCACGCTAGAAAAACCAAAACCTGCACCTGATTGGTTGCTGTCCTCTCCCACAGTGAGTCCCGCTTGGAGATTCATAGACAAATATCTGTTACCGTCATTTATGTGTTACAAGCTTTTGTCGTGTCCTTGCCTTCCAGGTGTCACGTGTGCGGTTTTGAGACCGAAGGACAGGCCCTTTTCCAGAGTCACATGACCGAACACCGCCAATGGGAGCACAGATCCTTCTCGCTGCACTGCTGCGTGTGCGACCACTCGACCAATCAGGAGGCAGAGATGAGGGCTCACGTCTGCACGCACATTCAGGGCGAAGTGAGGTAGGTGTAAGGATCCCTAACGACCCCCCTCCCCCCTGGATACGTGACCACACATCCACGTGTCAGCACATGATTACATCGTTAAATTTAAATTTACTTAGATTTTTGAGTTGTTTTTAAGCGAAACAACCCCAAATCTTATATGACAAATGACGATGATGATATTTTATCTTGTGGACAGTCTTTTTACAAAAATCTATCATATCAATAGTAAAAATAATCATGTCTGCAGTACTCCTTTGAGGCGTTAATACGACCTTACAAAAGGTTTTCTGTGGAAACATCTAATAAAACGTACTTTAAACATAAAAAACCTTTGAGGTGAAAGTCGAGGCTGAACAGAATCAGTTTCTAAATCTTTGCTCAGTTACTGATATGAAGAAGTAAACTGAACTAACCAGTAAGATAGAGGTAGAGCTTTTATTGGTACATTTAAATTCTTCATTGAATGGATTTAAAACTAATTTGTTGATGTTAGATGCAGGTGAGCGTGCTTTCTGTCAGCATCCTCGTGTAATGTGTGGGTCATTAACTCCTCCCTCTACCTTTCCTCCCAGATGGACTCCCAGATGCCCTGTTACCCTTCCTGCCACAGCCTCCACCTCCAGCAGCGGTGTTCGTTCAGTTGCCACGGCAACCCAGCCGGAGACAAGCACCTCAGAGCATCGCTGCCGCATCTGCCAGAGGTCGTTTCCAGGGCAACAGGAGCTGCTGGTTCACTTCCAGGGTCATCGCCAGGGCAACCAGTACCGCTGCGACCGGTGTGGCCACCTGACCCGGACAGCCAACAAGCTGGTGGAACACGTGCGCGTGCACACGGGGGAGCGACCGTTCACCTGTGACCTCTGCCCCTACAGCGCCAAGCGGCGGGACAGTCTGCGCCTGCACTGCAAGGTCAAACACGCTGCGCACTTCTTCAATGGGGGCGCGACGGACGCACCCGCCGACGTGCATACGCACCGGTCATACGTGCATGCAGACAATCAGCGCTCGAACAAGCACGTCCAGCGGCTGCACACACCGCCAAGCGCTCACACTGCTGCATCCTCCTCCTCTGTTCCTCCTCTTCTTCTTCATCCATCGCTGTCCGACCGCGCTGGATGGAGGGATTTGTCTCCTCTCCTCCCGATTACGACCCTCATCTCTCTGAAACAGCGCTCTCCTTCATCTTCCTCCTCCTCTTCATCTTTCTCTACCAAACACTCTTTTCTTGGTTACCTCGGCCTGACAACTTCTTTGTAAAGCCTCCCTGCTTTTGGTCCTCCTCTCTTCGTCTCCTTCTCTTCTAATTTCTCCTCTTCCTCTTCTTCCTTTTCTCTTCTATCCATCCTCTGGACTCTTAAAGCGATGGATGTAAAGCTCTGTAATGTATCCAAGGTACTGTCACTCAGCACTATGTATGAGAATGTCAAACAGCACTGAAAACACACCGATAAGGAACGTTTTTGAATTTATTCAACTTTTGCATCATGCTCGTGATTTTTGCTGCATTCCTGCCTGCTTTAGCCCGTCATATAATCACTGAACTCTTAGCTATTTAACCGTGTGACATATTTATTGCCTGTCTCTCTTGTCCTCCAGAAACCTTGAACTTAAAAAGTCGAATTTTATTATAAATTGTTCTAATCAGAAACATGAGATGCTGTGAAGTAAGGGTCATTTATTGAGATGATGAGATAATGTTGAGGGTGAGATAGTTTGTTTTTCTTTTAAAACACAACGTGTTTTTTAGACATTTTCTTTAAAAAAGCAGCGGACTTCAAAAAAACATGATTAAAGGAAGAAAATAAGAGTTGACAGCATTTCTAGCAGCTCTTTATCTATATGAAGGTTTACTTAGCTGTTTACTTTGAGTTCAGCATGCTAACTGTTCCACAGTACAATGCTAATATAGCAGGTATGATGCTAATCGTATTCTATGTTCTTATTTTGTTATGTGAACATGCTAACTTTTGCTAATTATCGGCAGTAAGAACAAGCTACTGCTACTACTGAGAATGTCCTTAGTTCGGTATGCTTATATGTTAATTTTTGCTAATTAACCGCTGAGGCTAATGGGAATGTCTTTAGTTTTATTGTTGTATTATTTGCTTATTGCTGCTGAGACTTCGAACTTTTTTACTTAGTATAAATGTCTTTAGTCTAGCTTTTTAGCATGGTAATGATGGCGATTTAATACTAAAAAAATGCAGTTCAGCTAAGAGTTATATATATATATATATGTCTTTAACTTAGATTGTTACTGCGCTAATATTTGCAATTTATCACAACAAACAATGCTGCTTAAATTGATGAGAAGGGTGTTAGTTTAACATGCTGTTTAGCACTAAACACAATATACAAGTGAGGCTGATGGGAATGCCTTGTGCTGATTTTTAGCATTGATAATGTTGGCCATATCTTGCTGTGGCATGTGAACATGCTAACCTTTGCTAATTTGCACTAAAAGAAATCACCACTTAGGCTGATGGGATATTATCAGTTTATCATGCTAATTTGCACGAATGATGCATTCCAGTTGAAGTTGGAATTTCCCAGTTCCCAGTTGGAATTGGACCCCCCTCTCAAGTTGGATTTCCAATAGAAAGTGAGACCAGCCCCACCAACCCGACTTCTCAACCCCAAATGGTGGCTCCGAATCGCTCCGTAAAACTTTCATTCGTGCTGCCAGTGTTGTGTATCTGTGACTGACTCTAGCCTCAAATGTGTTGCAGGGGCGTTTTAAGTGCAAAAACACAAGCGTTGCACTGTGTTAATAGTGATGCACGAATGGCTCTACTTTGCTTAGAAGCAAAACTAATCCTGGTATCCCTTGCTTTTCTGACTTTAGTACTGGAATACATTCAAATGAGGAGTGACATCACTCCCAGCATTGACAACCGACTTCTGAGTTAAATGGATTCACCATAAAAATAAGCTATTGATGCTACTGGGATTGAGAATGTCTTTAGTTTTGTGTGTTACGTGCTAACCTTTCAGTTTTGTATAGGCTCAAAGGGATGTCTGTAGCATGTTAGTATCTTAAACTTTCTAAGTTAGTACTATTCACACGCAATATTCCTGAGGGGGTTTGAAACTGCATTACTTTAGGGTGCTAATATGATCATTTCCACTGAAGCTAATGAGAATATAATTATGGTGCATTCCAGATTAAGTCGAACTTTCAGAATTCCCTGTTGGAATCGTTGTCTCAAACACCCCCTGAACCTGGAGTTCCAACTGATAACGTGGGAGAAACCCCTATATAGAAATCGAAAATGGTGGCAGTGAATGGAAAAAGTAGTGAAACTGTAATACTTTCTATCTGTGCCACTACTGACTTGCTAAATAAGCCATATACAGAGCAGTGAGAACGCTCTGTCCGTGAACGTGCTGCAGCTACATTTTTAAGCACAAAAAACAAACATTATGCTGTGTTCCTAGTGATGACATGAATGACTCTGCTTTGCTAAGAAACAAAACAAATCCTGTTTGTCGTGCTTTTCTGACTTTAGTACTGAAATACACTAACTCTGGAATAACTTCACTCCAGAGTTCTGAATTAACTGGAATGGGACATTACCGTAGGGTATTAGCATGCTAACACTGGCTAATGAAAGCAAAAAAACACACAGCAAGGCTATCAGTCCTCAGCTTATTGCGTAAACATGCTAACATTTGCCATTTAGCATTAAACAGAGCATCTAGCTGAGCTGATGAAAATGTTACTAGCTTTATTATTATTTTATCCTGAATTTGGTTAAAGTCATCAGGATGTTTGTGTCAAGTCTTTAATGCTCCATGTAAATCCATCCAGCCATCAAATGTGGAGATATTTCCAACAGACCAATTCAGAGAACCACTCAAGGTTTAAATCATTGGTGTTTTACTGAGTTCATCTACAACTGTGAGTGAAAGCATTTTAAACCAGATGCTGCAGCCGAAGTATACTTTTTATAATCTGTTGCTTATTGTCTTAGCCATTCTAATCGTAAAGTCTATATTTTCTGAGAGACCATCTTCACTTGTTGTGTCTGACTTTGGTATTGTATTACTGCAGAAAGCTCACATTTGATGAGAACACTTTATTTTATTTGACTGGTTGCATGAATTATTTAAAGTTACCATCCTTCAGTCTGCTGCTTCCACTTCAATATTGGAGGATTTTTGGGGTTATTCGTGGTTTCTGGAGGACAGTGATGATACTTCTAATATTTGTGTTGTATATTGATAATGTATTTGTGTTTACATGACTACATGGGGCTCCTGGGAGTCTGAAATGTCTTAATTTAAGGTTGCACTATATGTAGACAGAAGAAAAGTCAGTTTAGAACACTTTAGCCTTTTGCAAAAACACTTTAAGTGTTGGTTTGTTTTGTAATGTCGCCGAAGGAAAAGTCGAAACCCACAGCCAAATAATTACTCTGCAGATTCAGTCCCGGGGATCCAGTTTTTGTTAAATTATCCAGTACTAACAGCTGATCCACGACTGGTATGGGGCAGGGACAGCTGCTCAATAAAGTGTCGAAAATATGTTTTTTCAGTGAGTATTATTTATTAAGGTTTAAAGCCGAAGAGCATCTTTCTTTCCTGAGGCAGGGAACGGCTTTAGTTTGAAGACAGTAAAAACCCGAAGTTGTATTACCAAACGCACAACACAACCTAAGCTAGCTTAAAAATTCTTTTAAAAGGAAGAATAATGCCCACTAAGATTATTTGGTGATTGTCCCTTCTATCTGTTCCTACTTTGATAATAGCATAGCCACAGCGGCCTCACAGTGGGTGAAATGTCTTGCAGATTACAGGATTCAATCAAAATCTTATCCGTTATTTTTATTAGTTATGACAACGAAAGCTTATTTTATTCATAAAACATAACATTTTGCTTAAAAATTAAGACTTTCCTGTAGATTGTCTGGGCACACAATGACTTCTTTATGCTCCAAATCAGAGCCAAATTTCATTGCACATGATGTTTTTGTTATATTTTCCACTGTTTTAATTATTTTTATGACCTGCTGGAAGCACTCACCGTGCCATTTATCTTTAGGAAACAATTAAATTCACAAAAGTGATTGTCCTGGTCACAAGACAAAGTTTGAAAAGAGTAATATACACTTGCCAGACACTTTACTAGGACTATTTTACAAACCGCCGATCTGCTGGGATTTTCCTTCACGCCCATCTCTAAACTACGGTTTACAGATGGAAAAGAGAAAATATCCAGTGAGCCTCAGTTTTCTGCATGAAAATGTCTTGTTGATGTCAGACATCAGGGGTGAAGGGTCAGACTGCTTTGAGCTGATTTGAAGGCAACAGTAAGTCAAAGAATCACTCATTACAACTAAGGTATGCAGAAGAACAGTGGCTACTGTAATCACACTACATTTTTCAGTAATGTGGTGTATTACTGCACAAAATTCAATAATATGTTGGCAGTGATGTTGTTACTTGCGTTAAGGTTTTTCAATTATCTGCAGGTTGGGTGGACGGAAAGAAAAAAACAACTGCAAACTTGAGCTACATTGAGGTGATTTCAGTTCATGTGTGGGAGGAGGAAAATAGTGGGCCGGTCTGCAGCAGAGACATCGACATTACCTTTATTTTTATTGCACGAAAGAACGAGAGCACAATGGTGAAGTGCAAACTGCACCCAGGACACAAACAATCACATTATGCTGCTAACACAACTTTGGCTCTTTGCAAACATCAGCACAGACAGCATGCTAACACAAAGTCAGCAAGCAACCCAGAGTGACGACAAACCTTAGTGCATGCAGACTTCAGTCCAGCAGCCAGAGCCTGAACTTCAACAGAGTCAGTAATGAGCAGTCTGGACTATAGTCTCCATTTGTGTCTGTTCATGTTTTTATAGTAGAACCACGGTGGAAGTCGCTTTGGGCACAACATGTCAAACATGAAGCAGACGGGATACAGCAGCAGAAGACCACACCAGGTGCCTGCAAGATAAGAGCAGGAAAGTGAGGCTACAATTCAAATTGAACAATACAAAACTGCAAAAGTGTTGCCTGGTCTGAGTCTCTTTAGCATTCGGCCATAATTTGATTTAAACACCATAAAATCATGGATCCATCCTGTCTGGTGATGTAATATAATCAACAATCTTCTGGATACACTGTGTGCTCCTTAGCACGAACTGAGCATCAGTCAAACACCACGGCCTACCTGAGTATTGTTGCTGACTGTGTCCATCCCTTTATGGCCATAGTGTACTCATCTTCTGATGGCTGCTGCCAGCAGGGTAGCACACCATGTGGCAAATCATTTAAAAGCGATTTCTCGAACATGACAATGAGTCACTGCACTCACTGACCTCCACAGTGATGCAGTGACTCAGGAGGAAATAAAGGAAGCAGTGAAACATCTATCCTCGGTATCTAGAGCATGTGACCAGCGCTCATTACAGATGCCATGCATACATGTTGGGCTCTCTTCCCTCAGAAACCTTTAGTGAGCGAATGAAGGCCAACAGGTGTCCTTTATAATTGAGCTCTGATCCGGCAGCTTGTTGAGGGGAGGTCAGGTCTAAGATCACGTTCACCAGCGCTTCTCAGTGAGGAACATTCACCTACACTAGTGTTACATAATGTGTTTGTAAAGCACTGCAGCACGTCAACAAGGCAGGAACCTCATCAGGGGACGCTTGGACCCAGAAACGGGGTCGAGACCTCATCACTCAGGTTGGGTCTGCTTCAACAGCTGAATTTCACACAAAGCAGTGTAAAATATAACGACACCCTGAGCTCATCTTTGCCTCTTTTTTTCCTTTTTCTCTGCCGCATCCTGTCACTGTTTGCTGCCATGATCAATGAAGCTTAATTTCATCTGACTCGCCTTTGCCCTCGTGTCTTCCTCCCTCACGTGAGAGGAAGATCGTGTTACAGAGGAAGCTGAACCTGTTAACTGGGGCAGGGATTCAGCGTGGCGCCTGGATCAAATTAAAAATAAATAAATAAAATTTCATGGAGCTGAAATATAAACTCTGTCAGATTGGCTGCGCAGAGAGGGAGGGGCAGAGTTTTTACACAGAAACCAGGGATGAAGGTCACACACCACACTCACCAGGCGAGTGGGAGGATAAGTGTCAATCGCCACAGGTCCTGTCCCCTCCTTGCCGGTTGCCACGGTTACCTGGCATGTTGTAAGTCCCCGTGGCGGCGAGCGGGCGGCCCTTCTATTGGCCGGGAGCCGCTCTGGCCTCGGCGAATCGCGGAGAAGCGTGAAGGCCGCACTCACACAGAGGTCATTATTAGATTTGAGTAAATGGCATTAGAGGCGAGGAAGAAGAGGAGGAGGAGAAGCGTGTCAGTTAGAGGTGCAGTCAGGCTGCCAAGGACGCCTCACGCATTCACAGAGGCAGAAAATGTTCACACGTGGACGAATACGAGCACTGAATAATCATTTAAAGGCACTTAGTGCCAATGAATGTGTTTAAAATGACTTGAGATCTTTTAAATTGACTAAATCTGTCAGCAGAATGTGAAGAAATAGCTCCAAGGTGTCTGTGGTTGGTGCTGTAGAGATATCAGCTGAAGCTGAGCCGAAGCCAGGCTGTACCTTTCATGTATCACAACATCAGGGGTCAAAGGTGAAGTGAAAGCAAAGAAGGTGGACACAGATTCTGGCCTGGATAAGTTGTCTGTTTGCACATGCAAACAGATGCTTATTTTTCCTTCACTTCACCATTGTTGTGTTGATATTTAAAATTAAAATTTAATTAAAAGGTAAACAATTTACTTTATTTCACTTCTATAACTTCATAAATGCAACAAAAACATGTTACTAGTGCAACAAAAAATGCTAACTTAACGTACTAAATATCATAAATATCACAGTTACAGGATATGTCGCCGTCATTAGAGGCCCAGATATTCTTACAGATGTTTGTTTGCTTTGTTTTTTCAGTTGCTGACATTTTATATTCGTTTAAGAGTAAACGATGACCCTTGTGCTGCTGGAAAAAGTAAATTTCCTGATTTGGGGTTTTGATAAAGTCTGTGTCTAATAAAAATGAGTTTTAAAGTTTAAAAAAGCAGCACAGCAGTGAAATGCTGCACCCTGCTGGTGAAATATATAGTTAAATTGTGCAAATACAAAAAGTAACTTTACATTTATTCTAAGGTTATTATAGTTGCCTATAACTAAATTAATGTCTGACTTAAATATGCCGAGAAAACACATGAAAATAACATCAAGCCATTCAGGACATGTCACAGATAAAGACTCTGCTTTCTGACATGCCAGAACATTAGTCACATAATGCTTTAGAAGTGATAAAAAACATGAATCACTTGCACAGTTTTATGAATTTATGGAGACCGAAACTGTTGTTCGTGTCAGGCTGTAAACATGTTTATTTCTGCTCTAAAGTTACACATCCTAACATGGGAGTCAGTGGGGAGTGACTCGCTGTTGCAGGCAGCCTCAAGTGGCTGTTAGGTGAACTGAACTGCTGTTTTTGGTAGTAAAGTGGCTCTGGTCCCATTTTTTGTTTCAAACCAGCTAGTTTTCTGCTTGATCATTTCCTTTTTCTTTGCACGAAAGTTTTATGGTACAAAGTTTGAACATTTCACTGGAAACAAAAAGGCTTGAAAGTGGGTTGATGGACCATTTTTCAAAAATGTATATTTTCAGAAGTACTTTTGCCTCACAGCAATAAGGTTGTGAGTTCCACTTGACCACGTGGCCTTTCCGCGTGGAGTTCGCATGTTCTCCCCGTGTTTGCGTGGGTTCTCTCCAAGTACTCCGGCTTCTTCCCACAGTCCAAAGACATGCAGTTAGTGGGTTTAGTTTAAATGGTGTGAATGGTTGTCTGTGTTTCTGTGTTACACTTGTCCAGTTTGTATCCTGCCTCTCACCCTGTGGTTGCTGGGATAGACTCCTAACGGTAAATATGCAAGGCTTTAATGTACTAACTGGGATTCCTGCTAAGCCTGAGAGGTTGGAGATATGGTGTCCCCCGCTGGCTGGTGGAGTTGAGCACCTACAGCATGCACTGTGGCTAGCATTAACTAGAATGCTTATTGTTAACATGGCTTTTAAATTAATGCATGCCTAGATAAGAGGCATCCTTGGGCTGGAATGGCGATCTGCAGGCACAGCCATGAACACTGTGTTCAGTCAACATGCAGCCTCTCTCCGAGCTGGAGCTGGAGTGAAATCGATACCACAGCGAGTCACAGGAAGAGATGAAGAACCGCTGACGGTTGAAAAAGTGAAAGGGGGACTCAAAAGGACTGAGAGAAAGAAAAGAAAGAGTCAGGTGACCGAGGCGCTTCCTGCTATTTCTATATACTTTATTAAGACTATGCTGAGCTGCTGAGATCTGCACATTTTACATTTGGTTCAGGTCATAGATAAATACATAGATAAAATATGACTGTAAAACGCCCTGGAGAAAGCTGAATACAACACAACAAAAATGGTTCTATAAAGGAAAAGACAGCTTTTAATTTAAATCGAACAGGATGAAATAAATCATTTTCATATGAGTATTTTGTTTATTTATTTATTGCTAATAGCTTTCTATTTTTTTCATAAGAAGAGTTTGAAACTAAATAATTTTAGGCTCTTATATATCTTTCTTTGTAAAAACGATAAATCAATTAAAGGCTCTAAAACTTTGTCATAATCTTACCCACCCGTCTCAGTTACATTAAAAAATACCTTCACGGTTTTTTGTTTTTGGGGGTTTTTTTTGTTGAAATTATGTAATTTTATCACCTCATTGTTCAAAGTTTAATTAAATTATACGCAAGACGATGTGAAGCCTTTGTGTGTTCTTAATTCTGCGTTTTGTATACAGTCAGTGAATCCACCTAAGGATAGATGACTCAAGTACTTAAGACATAAGTAAGCTGAACCTAGTCCAGTAATAAAATAAAATGTGACTCTGAAAGACTCCGTTTTCCTTTGAATTTATAAAAAAAGAGGTTTTATTTATATTTAAATTTTAATGATTTAATTAAATGTATTATTATTATTATACATTTTTATTTTATTTCATTGGTATTTATTGAG